ACCAGCTTGTCAGTGACAATTTGTATTGAAAAAAATTTTTGTAGAAGGGAAATAAAGGTATATAGAAAAAATATCAAATTTTCACTTATCTTTGGACGTTTCGGGACCGGTTCTGCTCCCGTTTTCAACATGAGAAGAGATTATTTCAATAGCGAAGTCGTATAATGTCTTGAAGCTTTTCAGTTTTCAATGACAATTGGTGACGTTGGCAATCAAATGAGTTACAGGATGTTTTCATGAAAATGGTAAATTCAAGATCAATTAATGAAAACATCCTGTAACTCATTTGATTGCCAACGTCACCAATTGTCATTGAAAACTGAAAAGCTTCAAGACATTATACGACTTCGCTATTGAAATAATCTCTTCTCATGTTGAAAACGGGAGCAGAACCGGTCCCGAAACGTCCAAAGATAAGTGAAAATTTGATATTTTTTCTATATACCTTTATTTCCCTTCTACAAAAATTTTTTTCAATACAAATTGTCACTGACAAGCTGGTGAATTTTTCTTTTAGGCTCTCTGATAGGAAAATTCTTTAAACGCAGTGACATTTTGGGGCAAATCATCTGATTTGTCCTTACTACACGTATATTGAAATAATATTCATATTTTTATTTTATAGAAACGAGGAGAGAAAATCCCAAAAAATTTGGAATAACGAAAACAGCAACTTTGTCTATTGACTATTGTTCCATTCATCTTATTTTCTATACGTACACTTGGAGGTCAATATCGAAAAACTGTCAATTTTTTGAGGTTAGGTTAATTGGGTTTTTCCATCAGTTCATTCCTATCTACAACATTCCAGAAATTCAACCATTTTCAGATACATTTTTTTTTCTCTCAAAAAATGACATTTGGAGGTCTATATCGGAAAAACTGTCCATGTCTTGAGGTTCGTTCAATGGAATATCTGTTCAGTATATCAAAGTCTGCAACATACCAAAAATTCAGCGATTTTCATCGAGAGCCATTTTCCCTATAGTTTAGTGCGGGGTTACAAAAATATGATGAAAGGAATATTGAGGGGAATGTTGTAAACAACGGAGAACAAAATAGTGGACAAAGCCCTCAGAAAAAGATAACCGTAGACACGTGTTTGGGGCTTTAGGCCCTCATCAGTACGGTGAAAAGAGTGTGAAGGATACGCAACACTTGATGGAAGACGAAACAATAGAATAACGGAGTCAACAAACAGAAGCCAGCCGCACAATTGTGGTTTCGGTCAGAAGACCCTGCATTTTCAGGGCTACAACTAACGTCACCACAGAGGCAGCTATAGCTACCTGCGTGACAACCGAGTCCAGGATAACAAACATGATGAAAGGAATATTGTCCATTATTTTCTTCTCCGTCGTTTACAACATTCCCCTCAAGAGTAAAGTACCCTTATTTCAGAAAATTCAGCAAAATTTTATTGGGAAAAGTTCTTAACAATGAAAGTTATGCCTAAATACCAAAACATGGCCACGTAAGACATTTTTTAGTTTTTGAATTATAATCGTTAATAATTTCCCAAATTGTAATATTTGAAATACAAAATGTTCACATTAAATGTAAGTTTTTGAATATGCATATTATCATTTATGATGTTTTACCTTGTTAAAAATATGGTTTGCGAAATTTCAAAGTTAAGCTGAATATCGTTGCAACAAACATAAAGATTGTGATTCCCTAAAAAAATTAAAATCCGAGTTAATTGCACAAATAAGCTTGAATTTAAACAAAAGTATGCTCAACTGATTTTGTATGATCAATTTATGAAAGTATTTAGGGTGAATATGAAAAAAATTACAAATTGGGAAATTATTCACGAACAAAATTGAAAAACTAAAAAATGTCTTAGGAGGCCATGTTTTGGTATTTAGGCATATCTTTCAATTGTAAACAACTTTTCTCAATAACATTTTGCTGAATTTTCTGAAATAAGGGTACTTTACTCTTGAGCAATTTCCATATTTTTTGGCCTGTGTGACTTGCAACCATTCTGAGTGCACCTAAAATGGTTACTGAACATGCACCAACTTTCGGCACTATCTGTATTTTGGTTGTGAAATTCATTAAAAAGATTCCCATATGTTGCACACTTAAATGACCACACTGTATAGGGTGATGACAATTTGAAAGCTTAGAATTGATGTAACTCATGTACAAAATGAGATACATATCACAAATGGTTCATAACTGTTTATATAATATATAAAAAGGAAAATAAAATGTCTCATGAAATACCCCGACCAACCCCATGAGTCACAACCACCCCAACGCATATCATTTCGATTTCTTTCTCATACTACAAAAAGTTATTAATACCACTGAAAAGCATTTTCACCAAACTATTCAATGAGGTATCACTAGTAGGGGCTACTATTGAAATGATATGCGTTGGGGTGGTTGTGACTCAGTGGGTTGATGGGGGTATTTCATGATGTAACATCAACTTTTAGTAAATGTTACTTTTTCTATGAAATATTGATAGTACCAAGAATTTAACCGACCTCTTCAGAGTAATTAATTCAACTCTGGTTTTCACTGAATGTATTTTGAGAACTTGCATTCCCTTTTGTAGGATATTTTGAGCTTTTCTGTTGCAGATTTCATGGAGCTACGAGTCACTGGCATTCATCGTAGATCATCCTGTATATTCTTCGCATAATTGATTTTAATTGCATGTTATGTTTTGTTGACTTGATGAAAGTTCATTATTTCAGTTTGTTTTGAAAATATTTAGATGAAATGTCAAACGAGTTGTTGAGGTTCAAAATTGTAATTTTAATTCTTCTTTTTCTTTTGTTCCTTTGTCCCATGTAGCATTAACGAATAGTTCAGCGTTCAGACCTTCAACGAGCAGGATCGCGACAGTAACATATCAATATCAAGGTTGATGAACTTCGCTATATCCTTAACATGTCTAGGTAGTAGGCCGTCAGCGTTTCCTTATTGTTATTGATCTGTATTGATTTGTATTGATTATTAATTTGAACCTGATATCGGTTATTACAACGGTTGAATCGACTCTGGCTATTTGGTTACTATGATTTTTTGATTTTTATGACATGGACACTTGAATTTCCAACTAGAAAAGAGAAAGAAAAATTGAAAATCGTTCATTTCTGCATCTGGCCCATTGAATGAACTCGTAGGTGGATGTCCGCTAAAGTAAACTTCTGATCATCCACCATTTTTCGTGAGAAACATCTAATTAGAGGTAACTATTCAATTATTAAGAATATTTTTGATTTATAGAAATTATTATTTTTATGGAATTTGGTCCATATTCAAGGAAATTAATTTGTGAACTTTCATCATCTTGAGGTTACGTTATTATAACATGTTTTCTATTTTTCCTATGTTATAGTTCTGCCAGACTGTTATTTTATTTTGCATTTTGCTTGTACTTTTACTTGTTTTATTTACTTTTAATCTTCATTTTTTGGATTTGGAAGATTATGTAAATTTTGCTGATAGATGCTTTTTTATGGACTCGAAAGAGTAAGCATTTTTGATGATTTGAGGAAACAATCTTCATGGAAAGATTGTCCTGGCTTTTAGAGCCGATTTATTGTTCCTGTTAATGCTGGAATGCTATTGATGTAAATTTCAAGAAGATATAGATAATTTCCAACTTGATGTCATAAATTCAACGTACTGGCTGGACTAAGCATACTTATAGGTCACCTGACGTCTTAACAGACTCGTATGCCCATGAAATCTGTAACCTGGAGCCCAAAATGATAATGAAATTGACCATGATGTAATTTGGAAGCTGGAAATATCAATAAGCTCTGGTCAAACAACATTTTCTGGCTTATTCACAGTCTTGCTGATATAAGGTATTCTGTGATTGTTGAAACATTTATTATCAGATCTTTTATAATCTAAAATCAAGTACAATTTGGAATCTAGTACATTTATAAAATCATCATACAATATTCCTAAATCTGTGAAGGTGTAATGCATTATATCTGGGGAATATTCCATTGATTTCATTGATTAGATTTATTCAAAGCTGATGATCATTGTGTCAATTTTCACTGATAGGAGAACGTTCATTCAACACCCTGTATAATAAATATGTTGTAGTTGCATTTCAGGTGCAGTTAAATTTATTTGTGACACATATTATAAATGTTTTGTGATGCAGATTCAATACTCCTTCGAATACCCTTTTTAGTCATTAAATGAACCTAAATTTTATTTGTTTGATTTGTTTTCCTATCCTTCAGCACAGACAATTTCTTTCTACAGGGATTGGCTTAAGAAAGAGGTTTGTTGAACTTTATTTTCTGTAGATGGCGTCCAAATAAAATCTTATCTGGTGGAACTATCTTTCTTATGCTAATTGTTATATTTTTGACAAAGTTACATGAGATGGTAAGTAAATGAACCACGACCTATTTGCCCCGACTATATGAGCTGACCGTTCGCACAGTGTAACCTGGAATTTCTGAATTTCTCACGTTTAAGGGTTATAATGAGACATTTTATTTTTCCTTTTATATATTATATAAACAGTTATGAACATTCGTGATATGTATCTCATTTTGTACATGAGTTATATCAATTATGAGCTCTCAAATTGTCATCTCCCTATATGTATATGGCATACCGTACATTGTATCAGAGGGAATCATATGAATCCTCATGTTGATGATCAAGATCAATAGTGTGTCAAATAATTCTCCGATTCTAGCCGTTTGTTTTAAAGTCTTCAGTGATTTAGTAAAAATCGAAATTCTGATATTTTCTCTATTTGTCTATTCCCATGAATATTACCTTGTCATGATGGAATTCAATACCATGTATGTGATATTATTATCTATTCGAATAGAGGGTTTCATGAGGTAGAAATTAGACGTGACGCGTTTATTACTACTGAAGATTTATCACGACTCAGAGCACATAATTCAAATCGATGCAAAATATTCTAAACAGCCAAAATCAAATGATTGACACCCTGTAGCTCGAAATACTAAATGTGCTGGGTCCTTTCCGACCTACCTGAAAAAATCGACAAGCTCGGCGGCAGAGTCGATCTCCGCCTGGATAATAGTTTTAGCCTGACCGAGCATCGTGGCGGCATTCAATTTCGCCCTGTATTCCTTGGCCATCAGCGATGCTGCCGTCTCCCAAATCCTCAACCTGAAAAAATTCAAATTTTTTAATTCCCATTGATTTCTCGATGGCGAAACCAACGTCGTTCTACATGGAAAGCTAAATAGTAGGAGGGATGGTATAATATTGTCTGTTCATTGATTGATTGTCTTTATTACCCTTAGGGTGGCAACTATGCTATGGTCTGCCCCTACTTACGAAATCGTTGCGACAGTTACCGTGGCATTATTGATGATTTAGGCACCTAAAAATAGACCGGAAAATTCTTAAAAAATATGAAATTGAAAGGTATTTGAGTGAGTAATATAAATTATACAGGGTGAGTCATGAGGAATTGTACATGCTCCTACTACGAATAGAGGCACCTGAGGGGAATACCAAATGACCATCAGAAAGTGTCTCCGTCTCTTCTACAATAATCTATAGGGTGATTTATGGGATATGGCCAAAACTTCTTTCAATCACAACTTTCCAACAGTTCTTTCGATTCCTTTCATTTTTTCATGGTTTATTATGCTGTCACTCAGCAATCAACTGACGTATCCAGAATCGTAAAAATTCAGGACCGGTCTTGAGAAATTCTGCCAATTTGGTTCATATAAAAAATTTCACCCTGTATAAGGTTTTAGTAAACTGTGATATGGAATTTTTAAAGTTGATGAACAGGCAACCAAAATGAAGTATTTCAAATTTTCCTCACACTTTCATTGAATTTCTTAGAAAATGATTAATTTAAACTACACGCGAAACTTGGGCAATGCATGAATTTCACGAATAAAAGTAAGGATAAAATTATTCCCAATTCTTCAGCTCAACAATAATCAACATTCTCCTATTTCCAGGGTTGGATTCAGTAATTTTTTGGTAGAGGGTAATAATCAGCAAAAATTTCACCCTGTATATGATTTTAGTGAGAGGCGGAGACACTTTCTGATGGTCATTTGGTATTCCCCTTAGGTGCCTCTATTCGTAGTAGGAGCATGTACAGTTCCTCATGACTCACCCTGTATACACGCCTGGTAAGATTGGAATAGATAATCATAAAACTTGATTATTAAATATCTAGTGACGATATTTCGCAAAAGTGTGAATTTTGGAAGGGTACTTCTGAATTTCTTTGTTATAAAACAGCATAGTTTGATTTTATATATCAAAATCTAATTTAGGAAATTTCAATGTTTGTATGAATTGACTGTTGGTTCTGGAAAATGCAGATGAAAAAAGCACTTAATTGTTTCGTTTAGTAATTTCATTGACCAAAAATTTGTCTGCCTGTCAATGTACTTCTACAAGGGGTAGAGGTATGTGGATTCTTCAAAACTCTTTTCTCAACGATGACATGAATTTGAAGCAACATACAATGACTTTCAACAACATCAGGTAAGAGTTTCTTCTTGAGCCACATATGTATTATTTATTCTATAAAAATTAAATGATATTCCAGGTGTACAGATAATATAGTGAGTTATTATTAACAAAATGAAAGAAATGAGCAGTTCCTAGCTTTATATTCTTGGCTTGGCTGCCATCATTCCTAACAGTAATGTTTTATCGCAGCACTGATGAGTTTTCAGTACTTACTCAAATTCAAATAACATCAATAAATCGAGAATTTCATCATTGTATAAACAACAGTTTCTTCTTTATATATCCTACTTTCCTCATTTGTGTATGTACTTGAAATATTCAAACATGATAATTTTCTGGTCATAAACTCGACAGAAAAGTGGATCATCACAGGAAATTCAAAAATGTCTAATCGTCCAAGAGACGGTTGCAAATTTTGACAGTCATTTGATAACCAAATAACATAGTCCCAAAGGCATGCCATGCGACACCAATTGAATGGTAGATCTCAAAACCCTACCTGTACTATACCTTAAATTGAGTTAAATCATCGACACAACATTTTTTTTGCTTCCGTCATTCTGGACATACTTCCTTCCATCATATGATAATGAGTTGAAACAAATTGCAAATAATAAAAGGTGATGATATTCTCATCGCGAATATCCAGTGCTGTGATTCAAACTGATCTAAGTACACAGCGTCAATATTTAGAAGAATATTTCTCCTCTATCAAAAGATAATATCCCATGAACCAGAACATCGAACTGATGATCCATTGGATATCATCTTTCAACGTGGACTCTGCCACTAACATGGATAAGTTTGAATCGCGACACGTTTGGATATTCACGAAGGGCACATGTTTCCTCTTCAACAGCATATTATTGCAAATCGTTATCACGTGACTAAAAATCTACGAGAATTTGACTCAGATTAAGGGATGACAAGGTAGGGTTTTGAGATCTAGCATTCAATGGGTGACTTTGCTCCAACTTGTCAACCTGAAATCCTCTACCAATGTAGTACCAACATCATGGAAGTTTCATCACCCAAGTGGCTTTATGATGATGAAATCTGATTCTAGGAGACTTAATCTGATCAAACTGTGTTCAATACTGCTTATATCGTAACTTGAATCCGGTAGAAGGTTTCTCAACGGAATCATATGTTTTTAGGGATCTGGAAGCGAATCTGAAGTTTGCTGCCTCTTAGCAGGACCACCTCAGGTCGAAAAACGCAAAAAACCTCATTTTTTTCTGACCAAAAATATCACGGTATTCAAAGTTGAAGAACATAAAATTCTGCGTCGAATGACGTCTCTATCTTCGTTATTTCCAAATTTGTGTGGTCGCTTTTATCATTCAGAAAATGTCAACAATGGCAAGCAAGCAAGGATGAATAATGAAACTGTTGCTATTAGGAACACTTCTCCAAACGTACATCTGCTAAAGCCAGAGAAGTCCAAGAAGCCTCAGTTGATGTACCAACCGCAGTCTTCAGTGGAACAAAATCTTTCTGCTAGCGATGAGTGGATGCGACTTCACGTCATCTGTTTACAACCAAGGCAAGACTATAAATTCTTGAAAACTCTCTCTAAACATCCAGAGCTTGAAGAGACCATTGCAAATTCTTGGATCCGTCAGCCCAGCCAATGACAATTGCTGTTGCTGAAGAAGAATTTTTGGTAACCCTGTACAGGGTCAACCATGTAACAACCAGCTTGAATGCGCTACGATATAAGCAGTACGTAACCTTCAAGTTCTCCTAAAACATTGCATCCACTCCCCATCCATGCTGCAGCTTACCAGTATAGCTTGCGTGTTTATCTTCAAGTGCAACAGTGATTTAGCAACATTTGAGATATAAAACTGTGGGGTTGATAGTAAACCGAAAAATTGTCTAATCCCAGTTAAACCCTGAAACTGTTTTAGAACCACAATCGTCTGAAAATGAATATATATTGCGGTTGTCACAAAAGTTGGTGAAAACTTGCTTTTTTCGAATGACGATAGCAACCTTATAAATATGGAAATGAGAATAACAGAGACGTCATTAGACGCAAAATATTATGCTCTTCAACATTGAAGATTGTGATATTTTCCGTTCGGTGAGTCATTTGCAAGATATGAGCGGAAAATCAGAAAAGCTCCGGAAATTTTGAGGTTTCTTGCGTTTTTCGATCTGAGCCGGCACTGCTAAGGGGCAGCAAACTTTAGATTCGCATCTAGCTCCCTAGGAACATATCAGATAGGATCTACGCTGCTCTCTAATAGAAGTTATTCAGAAGAAAAATTAGTTTTTCAGCAACCGACATAAAAGTACTCCATTTTAATACCAAAATCAGCTCTTGATATTATAGTTAAGTATTTTTGTTTTAATCAGGAAAGCCTTCAACATTCATATACTTGCTTGATCTGTATTTCAATCGTTATTCTCGGGATGGATAACTTGTTTTTGAATAATCACACAACGATATTGTTAACCTTCATTTGATTACCGAGCTAAACACAGTGGAGTATGGAGAGAAATAAATAATCGCTATTATTATTGTTGATATGCTCACTAACCTAACATTTTCCACGTCTTTCTCCTCGCAAAGTTTGCTTTCGCTCGGCTTCGCAAATGCACAATTCGCTTGTCAAACAAAGTGTGCCTTTTGACCCTAATAAAACAATCTACTATTTTGTGAATTCCACGTCTGATTAGTTGAAAATCACGTTGATTCACTTGCATTCATTCTGAAATATGTCATTTCGTCGTCAAACTTACTTGTCACATCTATGTCTTTCATTTCAGATCATTTATTTATGGACAACTCTATTATCACCATCCTCTGGTAAAAGTAAAGGCAGATAGGTGCAGTAGGAAGAAGGGATATTATAAGGGTTGGCTTGGCTTAATGGTTTGCGACAGGTAATATTCAAATAGGCAAATAGTTTAAGGGTAGCTGACAGTACAAGACTATATTCGGACATAATATTTATTATAGCATGAGATATTATGGGTAGTAATGAAGTATAAATAAACAACAATGAATATGTAGACCGAATAACAACTGTCATTAGGATTACCATTACGGCGAGTTCTTGTGAAGTCAAGAGTAACCTCAAACGGGTTTGTTAATCTGTGATCAGTTAACTTCGGAACACTCGTATCCAAAGAAATAATCAAACCTGAAGGAATGATTTCTCTTTCACTAATTTATTTCATCATGTCATAATGCACTTTTTATGAGATTTTTTTATTATTATTATTTTTGTATCTGTTGTTCATTTCAATAACTTGGATTTAATAACGCATGTATAATCTCATACCAGATATAAATCTACATAGAAGTGACTGATAATTTTTGTCGGTTACTCGACAGAAAAAATACATATTGAAATAATGAAGATGATGGAAAGCCCTAATTTCGAGTGACAAGGGAAAATGAAAAAACTCCACCGCCCCGTGTGAGAGTCGAACTCACAACCTTTGGGTTACATGCCCAACGCTCTGCCAATTGAGCTAACGGGACATCCGTCGATCAATCGGCAGGAAGGAAGTTTTTTCATTTTCCGTTGTCACTCGAGATTAGGGGTTTCCATACTATACAGTGTGTCCATTTAGTGCGTAATTCTTCAATATCTTGAAAGCCATAACCTATAAAGGAAAAATTTGGGTTTTTCAGTTACCAAAATTGATTGTTTCAAAAATATTTTCAACATTACTGAGCGTTTTATAAAAGCGAGACAACTCGGAGACGAGTTTTTTTAAATGGAACACCCACTATTGTTTATTCGGAATTGATTCCGCCGAGGTTTCACTTTCATATCACTGTAAAAAAATTTTAAATCTGTTGCGGCATTGCCAAGTTATAATTGATGAATCTATTTTTACCACTATTGAAGAGTCATATTGAACTGGGCATGGTGTTCAGTCTTCTAACATTTTTTCTTCCTTATTGTTTCCGCGTTACAGTCGTCAAGCGACTGCGACTCCCGTAACCATGAAAACAGGAGCATTCGCCATATACCTCTGTCAATACACATTTTTCATTGTCATTGTACCATATTTATAGACGAAATTAATACTGTTGATTTGAACGATGACATTAATTTATTTCACAACGTAAAAGGTTTAAGAATACAGTCCATTGAAATTGTTGATCACATGGTATATTCATTTATTCAAATTTTGAAAATATTTTTGGCATACGGTAGTAGCGAGGACTCACGTATATCAATCCAGTAATTTTGTGACATCTTCTTTAACAGGGTGCTCAATTTGGCATTTAGAATTTTGCAAGATTCAGATGACATTCATTAAAATTTTCCAAATCCATTCCGACATCTTTCGCCTTTTTATCGCTGAAAAAAAAAATCCGAATCGATTGCGGCGTTGTCAAGTTATGGATAATTTCCTTATTTTTACTATTTTGGGGTGATTTGTACGTCATAGTTCTTTCATTTATTTGTATTCTGGAAATATTAGAATATTCAGAATGTAAATTTCAGCACTCTGTAAAGGATTGTCTCGAAAAATAATTGGATTGGTGTACGTGAGACCTTGCTACTACTGTATGCCAAAAATATTTTCAAAATTTTAATAAATGAATATAACATACCCAATTCAACATGACCCTTCAATAGTAGTAAAAATGGGTTTATCAATTATAACTTGACAACGCAGCAACCGAATTAAATTTTTTTACAGCGATGTAGAGCTAGTAAATTTCGAATAAAAAATACTGGGTGTTCTATTTGAGAAAACTCGTCTTCGAATCCTCCCGCTTTTATAAAACACCCAGTATTGTTGAAAATATTTTTGAAATGGAAACTTTTAATAACGGAAGGACTTTGTTCCCAAAAGTTTTTCTCTTGTGTTAATGGATTTCTAGATATCGAAGAATTACGCACTAAATGGACACACTGTACACAGAGTAAGGATAACAAATGAATAGCTTGTTGCAGACTAGAAGGCTAGCTTACTGAAAATTTTGTCAATAAGGACGATTTTCGGAATTTTTTTCAATGAACAGAAAATATTATACCTCTCGCCTAACTAGGTGCAAAACGAACCTCTCTGGTATGGGTACCCTGTCCCATTTCTGTTGCGCTTCGCAAGCGGTCTGAATGGCCTTGTTCACGAGGTCTTTGTCTGCGTAGTAAAATTTGGCAAGTTTCTTCTTGTGGTTGTGCGGCATAACCTAACAAAAATGCTGCATGTCAAATAAATAATTGTAGCCAACTTACAGTGGAGGTGATATAAATCAGGAGGGGTGAAAGAACTTACAGTCACAACTCCACCACATAAATTATCGTTCATCATTCATCAAATTTATAAAAAGAAAATCTGAAAGAAGAAACAACGCTTATCTTAGTTTTCAAGTATTGATTAAAAATCTAAATGTACCTACCATTATTGGTGGAAAAAGATTACTTAAAATACGTGAAAAAAATTATTTTTCACCGCGCATAGTCGTTACCATCGAGACAATAAGGCCTGCATGCTCCGTGATGACGTCACCTTAGTGAGGCCTAGCCAGCGGCTCGAAACGACAAGCGCTTGTGGCGCTATAAGGTGACCGCGTATTTCAATTTTAGTTTTAGATCATTATTGAGCCGATTTTGCTGTTTTTTTGAAGGGCTTCCGGTCAAAAAAGGATGCCAGTCGTCAACTGAGCCCTTCTTCGCATCCCATTCGATTTTATTATCGAAAAACGAAGTTTCAAAGCAAAAACCAGAAAAAAACACAAATACCCACCTACAGCAACCCATTCGAATTAAATATATTGGCAAAAATTGTGGTGCAGGTAAACTTCACACAAAATTGTGGAAAATGTATTTTATTTTGATAGACATGCCGTTTGTTATAATTACCTATATTTATCTTGAAGAATTCCTATTACCCAAAATATTAGCCAGTGAGTGTTTTCAATTTCCTGTTGTTGGATTTTTTAGCCAATTGATCGTTAGACTTGAAACAGTAATTTTTAAGGGTAAAACTGCATTTATCATGCGATGGTTTTTTTTTCGAATTTTTTTTTGGTACTTACGTATTTTTGTCTGAAAAACACGAATTTGATAACGAAAATGCGAACAAACCACTATTTATCGAGATATTTCAAGAAAAAGTTCGAAATTTCGCCTTTTTTCTCCCCTTGTGTTGGGGGCATTTGAAGCTACTTGCTCTTCTTATTTTGTCATTGGACACTTTATATACTCATGATGTACAGTCGTATTCAATAAAAAAGCGTACAAGTATTAAACATAGAAGATTTCGGCATTCTAGTTCTCGTTGTGTGAAATTGGCTCAGCCAATGCTTTGTGTTTTTGAGAACCTATGATTACTCTACTGTCAACATTTGGTAACCATTCATTCCCGATAGCCCGTTTTACGCAAATAGGATGACGTTAATTTTTCCCTCCAATATACTTGTATGCTTTATTTTTGAATACGACTGTACATTTTTATATAGAAAATTCAACAGGAAATATGATTTTTATGGCGAGTTTTTCATATTTAGTGAACAAGCATACCAGATGACGGCAATTTAATCAATAGTCAATCAAAATACGAGATGTCAAATGTCAATAGATTGCTTTGGAATGACATTACACACGCCATTATTTTGAATGATATTCTTCCTTCTTTTCGCTAAATATGGATAAATCTCAAGAAAATCATATTTATAGATGAATCATATAATAGAAAAAAATGTGTCATACTTTGTGATATACAGGGTGTCTGCTAAAAGGAGGTCAATCCATTAACCATATATTCCTTATATATATATTCCCTTCATATTCGATATACAGGGTGTCAAAGTTAGAAATTAAAAACTGTTTTTTTTTTCATTCACTCGCGTATTTGATGAGATATTAATCTCAAAATTGGTACATTACTTCAGCATAAAGAGTTACATCGTGTGAGGAAAACAAAACAGAAAATAACGGTCAAATATCCAAAATACTGGGGGTCAAGTACACACTTACCCCCATTTTTTTTTTGTACGTGCGCTAATGACTTCCTATCTATTCTTCTTCAGGTGTTCAATCATTTTTCAGTGTTTTTTTTTCTCCTGTAAAATTTCGATAAAATCATTTGTTTTTAAGATAATTCGAAAAGTACTGGTTATTGTTTGATGCCTAAGCGGCTTACGGTAATCTCATAACTGGAATGTTGGCCAAATGTCAATTCACTTATTCATCATCTCATTCTATTTCAACCATAGCTAACTTGGACCAAATATTCATATTTAATTTTGCTGATATGTCGTCAAGCACTCGATAGAATATATGAAAATTATATATTTTCAAAATCAGGAAAGATAGCTCTTTCGAAATATGCAATATACAGGGGGTTCCATTTGAAAAAAAAAATTTTTTTCCACCTACTCTGTATATGAAATGATAAAATCAAGCAGAGAACACATTTTCCAGAAGGAAATGACATCTCATTCAAGTAACTCTTTCCAAATTTCAAATATCTTTTTTCGTTTTCGAGATATCAGCTGTTGAAGTCGAGAAATCCATAGTCAATCACCAGTAGATGTTAATATGATAGTTGCAATTTGATCATTGGAATGAATTCTGCATTCATTGTCACGAGGGAGGCAAATAATGACCGTTTTCAGAAAGAAATTTGAGAATGTATTGAATTAAAAATGTCCGTTTATTATGAACATTCAAGAAAATTTCCTCGAATTCAGAGATGATTTTGTTGAATATAATATACGAATACAAAACTAACTGCACAATCAAAGCTTTCCTCTCTTTCCTCTACTCATACTTTTTATGAGAGAGTAATTGTCTTCTATTATCAATTCATCATTATAATTTAAGCTCTGTTTACTACTGTACTTAGATGGAGTGAAATCCTCGCGGTGAATTGCATATACCCACTTTTTCGATAGTTCCTTTTCCAACGGGAAACTAAAAGCATGAACTTTTGGAACACCCACATAATTCTCCCGACAAAAGGGAACACAACACTTGGAAGGCATTGTTATTTCGCCTACAACACAAAATATTTCACAATAAAGTAATTTTTCCGCCAATTTTTTTAATGAATAAACAACAAAAGAATTCGGGACGCGACCGTTTTCCAAACATACCTGATCGAACTGACTACGAGCAGTGTTGCCAGATGAAACTTTGCCGAAGCAGTAGATGATTTCCTTACGTGCGCTCCAAGCGATAAAAAAAAGTAGATCATCAAAACTGAACAGTAGATTCCAATAATCATCACAATTTGCTATTATAAATGAAAAAACATAGAAACCTTTATGATAAACGGAAAAAAAAGTTTGTTCTCTAAACCTATTAAAATCGAACAGAAAATAAAAATAATAAAATCTAAAAAAAAAATTTTTAAGAACCAGAACCAAATTGAAAATGAAAGCTGATTTCTACTAATCAGACTAAATATAATAATTTCAGTATATTTTTCTCATACATCTTCTTACTGTAATGCCCCATTAATTATTCATTGTTACATATAAGGTAGATATGTCATATCAAAACATGACCATTCAGACTATTGCCTTGAACAGTAGAACGGAGACGAAAACAGTAGATCTACTGTAAAAATAGTAGGTCTGGCAACAGTGACTACAAATCGACATGCCATAGAATATGTGTGTGGCCTCTCTTAGTTGACGTCACGATCTGTTTACGTCACAGAGCTCTGGCCTTATTGTCTCGATGGTAACGGCATAGTGCGGGTGAGTAACTGTTAGAGAACAGACGTGATCACAGCTCTATAAGGGATCAGTTTTCAAGAATAATTTGATATGAATCAAATATTAAATTGAACCAGCAGCTCTCTCGCTGCTGTGAATCGAAGACTTTTACCTTCATAATTAGGGAACATAAAATTACAATTACTTTACATGTAAATTAGAATATCATTTTTAGCAGAAATCTCAAGTGCCCCTCATTTTAATGAGTTACATATCAGAAAAATAACCTGTTTGAATCCTAGCTTCCACTTCCTAATGATCACTTACCTGATAGCGGACATCTTTTGTTCGATATTCTTTATCGCCAATCACTATAGGTACATCTTCCGTTTTGGCTGCCGTTTCGTTTAGAGCCTTTTCAAGGTCCACCCGTTCTTTGGATCCCTTTAGGTAATTATACACCGGTTCATTTTTCACGTCGAAATCGCTAATTTTCAATTCAGGAACAACTGAGCCAAGACATCTTACGCCAGATCTGATGTTACTGAAAAGATTAAAATAGATATTTAAATACTACCAATATGTAATGTGAAACATTACGACACTGATTTCAGTATCGTAATGAGATACTTTACCGCACTAGAGCGGTTAAGTGAAAAAAGTATAATTTCAAATTTTATTTTTACTCGAAACTAGAAATAAGAACCAATTTATCAATACTGATTATAAATAGGAAAGATTGTTTTTCTTCGATTGGCAGCAAATATTAATTTTGCTGACACATATCAATCAGCAAAGTATTACTTTTCCTGCCTAGGCAGCAAAGTGGGTACTTTGCTGATTGATATGTATCAGCAAAATTAATAATCCATAAATCGTTATTAATTTCCTTCATATTTCATCCGAGACTTCTCCGGCAACAAATTCAACTCTATATTTTTTGCCGCCTCCCTTATTTCTGGAGGTTTAAGTACTTCCACGTCGCTATCACTGTCCATTATATAATAATTTAAATATACCGATATTTTTTCGCACAACTGTCAGGAATTTCATAAATTGTCAAACTATAATTATTATGGACATTTCCATAGCAACCAATCATTCCAACAACTGCGATTTCTATCAAATTTTATTTTAATTGAACACTACAGGAAAAATAAAGAGATACATATATATCATTATGAACAATCGGAGAAAAAATTATATGTTCAACTCGGCAGCAATAGTATATTATTAAACGAGCGGTAATGTAGGTCATAACTCACGCAGATGAAGTTTGCAGCACGAGCCACAGGCGAGTGCTGTAATTCATCAAGTGAGTTATGACCATTACCGCAAGTTGAATACTATACTTTATCTACGACTATTACAATAAATCCTAAGTTATACAAGTACAGAGAAAGAACTTTATTGACAAATCTTGATATACTTAATACAAATTTTAGATTCAATCACTCGCATATTGTTTATTGAAAAAATTAACTGTGAAGTTAACAGTAAACTGAATATGTTGGAACACATTAGTTGATCGCCAACCGCCATAGCGTTTCAGTGCCGTACGGCATCTATTAATAAAGTTGCCGATGAGCGGCGAAAACAATGCCCTGTATATAAATTACAGTCTGGTAATTTCACAAATGTGGCAATGTCTTTCCCCATTGCTCAAAATTTAACAATGCCATTCTTTGTGAGTGATATTTTCCATATGGAAATTCAAATGATAATCCATCTTCACTATCTGAATTCATCAAAAAAATCACAATAATTGTATCAGCTCAGTTTGAAAACGTCAAAATTATTCAGTTGATATCACTCCCCTCAATAACAATAATGGACTGTTCCCTTTCGGCCAACTGGCTTGTACAGAAGTACTGAGCAATCTTGATTTTCGGTTCGTAAATAATTCCAAGAGCCTTTCTCGATGTAAGTATTATAGTGAGTTATAGTAGCGAGAGTTATTATAACTCACGCTGTTTGTTTATAGATACTATTAATTGTACAAAGGCAGTTGAATCATTGATATATAATTTAATAGGAGTAGATAAAATAGATTGACTGCCTTAGCTGGATTCCTAGCCTCGCTACGCTCGGCTATGAATTCAGCCTCGGCAGTCAATCTACTACTTTGCTGCCTAGTTAAACAAATAACTATTGTTTGTTTGTATGTATTGAATAGGCACCGAAACTACTGGATCGATTTAGCTTAGAACCAGGAGAAGATTATAGGATAATTTTATCCCGGTACCATTAAGAAATTAAAAAAGGGCGGATCTAATATATCGGACGAGTTTTGTAATTATGGTCCGATTCTATTCAAAATTGGTATCTGGGTGTTTTCGGGGTCAGAGATTAGGATTCTTTCGTCAGAATTTGAAAATTCGGGCGGAATTTGGGAATTCAAGATGGCGGAACCAATGTGACGGACGAGTTTTGTAATTATAATCCAATTCTTTTCAAAATTGGTACCTAGGGGTTTTCGTGATCGGGGATTATGATTCCTTCGTCAAAATTCAAGATGGCCGACCGAATATGGCGGACGAGTATTGTAAATATGATCCTACTCTCTTCAAAATTGTTATCTGGGTGTGTTCGGGGTCGGAGATTATGATTCTTTTATCAAAATTTGGAAAGGGCGGGATTTGGAACTTCAAGAGGGAGGAACCAATATACCGGACGAGATTTGTATTTATATACCGATTCTATTAAAAATTTGTAAGCGGGCGTTTTCGGGATCAAAAATTATGATTCCTTTGTCAAAATTTGGGATTTCAAGATGGTAGATTCAATATTGCGGACGAGTTTTGTAATTATGTTCCGATTCTATCCAAAATTTTCATCTGGGGTTTTAAGAGTCTGATATTATGATTCTTTCGTCAAAATTGGGAAATTCAAGTGAACTAAAAAGAAGTTGAAATAAATGGTAGTTTGAAAAACTTTTACACGCTTTTATAGATAACGAAACTAAAAAGAACTAGAGAATAAAATAATAGTGTCTTGATGAATATTACACTGAAAAAATATGTTATAGAGATAATGTATATAGCAAAACAAGATTTGCGAGGTGTGCTAGTCATGAATATAGACATACTATTATCAGGTAATAATCTACAATTATAATATTCAATATCTACAAAAATTGAACCTCATTTAAAATAAATGGTAATCGGAGAAATAAAACAATTGATTATAATAATTATAGACATGATAGATACGAATAATACATATTTCCCTACATATTAATTCAACAAAGAAGAATGCATCAGTACATAGCTACAAAACTTAAACAACATTTATCATACGTATTTTTGATTAAATAATTGGCTTTTTGGTAGTAGGTAAAATATTGTACTATATTCGTATCGTAAACTCATATTACGATAATCGATGGGTTATCAAACTCGGCCATCGGCCTCGTTTGACAAATTTCCCATCTCATATCGTATTCGTAATATTCAAAAATGGATGTTTCAAAGCTCTTTGTTTCCTTTACTCCAATAGGCAGATTTCAGATAATATACCACATACCTACGGTGCCAGGCAAAATATCGCATCTGTCATTTATGTCCCTGCTACTCAGAAATCGCTTGGTCAAAGAAATTTTCGCTATACAGATTCAAAATCATTTAATAAATTACCTAATGACTGTAAACAACTTAGCTCGGCTCGTCTATTCAAAGTCAAACTGAAAAATTGGATATTGTCTAATGTCTAATGATAGAACATGCTTCTCCTATGTCATTGATCCAATCTAGAAAATATGTACTTCTGAAAAATGTTATAATTTTTATTTTCCTTCCCCTCATTAGTTATTTTTTTGTACGTTTCGGAATCACTTTAAATAAATCTCTAACTTTCTAATCTATAGTTAGGTAATACACAATTAGAGGGTTAAATTAGCCCTTTACGACCTTGAATAACACTGCCAAATTTCAATAAAATCGGTTGAAGGGTTATTTAGATATTTACGAAAAAAACGATTTCTTTTAAAAATTTTGACACCCTGTATCTTGAAAACGAAGCATTACCGGACCTTATTTATATGAACTTTTCGTCTTAGAACCACCCAAAGAATCACCCCTTCAAGTTTGGCCACGTACTTAAATAACACCCTGTATAGGTTGATTCACGGTGGAAGGCACATTAGACTTTTCGTTTCTGGAGAATGTAACTTGGGATCATTCTGAAAATTTGGTGCCTTGGATGATTAGTTGTGCTCTATCGACCCAAGATATTCTCAGCGCTGCGATGTTGCCGCTTATATTGAAAAGTAGCAACAACTTTGATTTTTCGAATGGGACACCCTGTATATTATTCCATTTTCAGATTGTCCCTGACGAGCTAATTTCATTGACCTATAACACTTGGGGTCCAGCAGTGACAATTATTGAGATATAGAGTGTGAAAAATCGAGATTTTTCACATCCTATAACTCTGTAATTATTAGTGCTAGACCCCAAGGTCAATAGAATCAGCTCTTCAGGGAGAATCTGAAAATTATACAAGGTGTCCCATTAAAAAATCAAAGTTGTTGCTATTTTCAATATAAGGGGCAACGTGGCAACACTGAGAATATTTTTGTTCGATAGAACACAACTAATTATCCAAGGCACCAACTTTTCAGGACAATCCTGAGTTGCTGTCTAATGTGCCATTCACCGTGAATCAGCCTGTATTTTTTTCACTGTTGACCATTTTCAAAGGCTTCAGCACTGTTCTGATAACAACTGTTGGTGTTTTCAGATCGAATCCGGTTCGGCTGACCTTTTTTTTCAATTTGTGATTCTTGGTAGCAATCCTGGCAGCACCTCGATGCCCTAGAAGTGGTTTGGATTCCACTATAAACTATAGGTCCCGCTCTTCCTAACCCCGCACGAGCATAAACTCAGTTGACACAAATTTTGTTGCTCTTCGTATTTTTTATATGAATCTGGCAGAGCCACTCGGTATCTATTAACTTTTCAGGAGAACTGAACTGATGCTACTGCCAACATTCGTCGCTAATTTATCGCTAATTAATTTTACCACTTCAAAAAATTCGTCGATAACTTTTTTCATAAAAATAGTTATTTGTTTAACTAGGCAGCAAAGTAGTAGATTGACTGCCGAGGCTGAATTCATAGCCGAGCGTAGCGAGGCTAGGAATCCAGCTAAGGCAGTCAATCTACTTTGCTGCCGAGTTGAACATATAATTTTTCCTCCGATTGTTCATAATGATATGGTAGAATATTGTATTTGCGAATTATTACAATTCCCACAATCTCTTTATTTTTCCTGTATAGTGTTCAATTAACATAGAATTTGATAGAAATCGCAGTTGTTAGTTTGACAATTCATGAAATTTTTGACACCTCCATTAATAAGGGAGGTGGCAAAAAATATAGAGTTGAATTTGTTGCCGGAGAAGTCGGATGAAATATGAAGGAAATTATAAACGATTTATGGATTTTTAATTTTGCTGATACATATCAATCAGCAAAGTAACCACTTTGCTGCCTAGGCAGGAAAAGTAATACTTTGCTGATTGATATGTGTCAGCAAAATTGATATTTGCTGCCAATCGGAGGAAAAATATAGAGTTTACATGAAACAGAATTACTCCGTTTCTATCCAGTTTTTCTTTGAATAACAATATTAACATAACTCGTTATTTGCAGAATATAAAAAGAATAATTATTTTTACTTATAATATCACGAATTTCCAGTCAGCACATCCTTTCGTTTTCAACCTCGAAAGATGTCGAACAGCACTTTATCAAAACTCCTTCACCCATAGAACGGCTAGGCTCTGGAATTCATTGCCTAAGGAAGTATTCCCAACAACATATAAATTCCAGAAGTTCAAAAAAATTCCAATACCTCCTGTCCCTATCCTCCCTAGGAACGCACGATGTTCTTTGAACATTATAGGCGCTCCAAGCGATAGAAAAAAAATTCGTGTTCGAGAAAAAATTCCCGGATATTGATTGAAGCTAAAGTGGTATTCGGTAAGAAAATTTCACACTGAAATATGATTAAAAAATGAGTTGGATAATGACGATTTTTGATGGTTTTGTAAATTTCGAATTTGCAAGTATACATAATATTATGTGGAAAACTGTTGATGAATGATTTTCATTTATTGACTTATAGAATTAACTCGAAATAATCTGAAGTTGAATGTAAATGTCATTTAACCTATAAACGTCAAAAAATTTCCAGTGTAATTTCATGCTTCGTCTCCCAAGGAGAAGGTCTAGAGGTTGAATTATTTCCGGAAAATTTTTTCATGGATATTTGGAATATTCATGAGCGAGAAAAAAATCCCAGAAAGTAATTTGACCTCGTGTGGTA